GTTTTAGACGACAAATAAGAATATTATAAATTTTTGGAAATGGGCGTAGCCACGCCCACTTATGGTTACATGTGTATATCTTGGTAACCGCTGCACCAATTTCTTCCAAACTTGGCACAGTTGTTGGCCTTGGTACAACATAAAAAACCGCCGGAACTTTTTAAAATCGGACAATAACCAGCCCACATCCCATATAACGGTAATTTAGAGAAATACAAAATCTTCGATAAATCATTAAATATTGAAGCTAATTTATTCAATTGATGCTTGCAACAATTCTTTACCAAGAAATACGTTTATGGTAAAATTTTGGAAAATGGGCGTGGCACCGCCCACTTATGATCACATATAAGTATATCGGTAACCGTTCTACCAATTTGTACCAAACTCGGTATGGTTATTGTACTTGCCACGTGTAAGCAAAACGTTGAAAATTATTGAAATCGGACTAAAATAACGGCCGATTCTCATATAACGGTAAATTTAAGAAATGCTTGAAACTTCAATATTTCGAAATTGAAGGACGCTAATTTACTCAAAATTGATACACCTCGGCTTACCATCTAGCGGAAGGTTTCGGAAGGGTAAAAAAACATATATTTAATAATTGCGCCGGGTATTTAATGTTCGGCTCCGCCCGAACTTAGACTTTCTTACTTGTTGGTATTGTTTTTACTGAGAGTTTCTTCAATACAAATTATGTTCGATAATTCTTTTTATATGGAAGACACTGTCAGCAAAAAAAAAGGTAAAAATCAACGAAATTTGCTGGCAACTTCAGACTTGCACTTAATTAATTGGCTCAAAAGCTACATATTCAAAATTTTTCTAAAAGATCTGATTAGAAATTGTGATTTGATGAAAGTGCCTCCGATCCAATAATTTTGTACGGCACTGTACTTATAAGTACTCTAGGTTTCATGAAAGAAAAAAATTTAAGTACAAGATAACATTAAAATATCAGTCATATTTTTCGTTGCTGTGAACTTGTTTCAAAACTTCTGTCTTTTCCTTAATATAGTTAATTGTAAAACTCTGTGCACGTTATTTTGAACGTATTTACGTACATATACTTATCATCAACTATTGCTTGTGCAAAGTTCAACTGTCTCAAAATGTGACTATTTCACAAATTAAATCGGTGCACTGAGAGAAAGAAGTTTAGAATTAAAAAAGCGTGCTAAATTTAAAAAATACGCATATGAAACAGCACCAACCCAACTCGTAATACATTTAAGTAGACAAATTTTAGTATTTAGTTAGAAATAATCAATTCAAATGCGCCCATATTAAAATGAAGCGATTTGCAATTACCGATTAAGTTAAAAAAATATTTAAATTCCATGCTGGTTGTAATGGGAATTGAACCCTGACCCTCTGGAAATCAGCAAATTGTGGCAAGCATCTTCGCGCACTCAGCAACAGCCACACATGTAAATATGCATTTAAATGTTGAGTTTGAATCAACACCACGTTTGCGTGTTATGGAAGTACTAATTTTAAATACGAACATATATTTTAAATAGAAAATATTCATGTTTACTATGCGTTATTTCCCTCAGTGAATTCATAACATTTTTCTGAATATTACAACGCGTTTTTTTTCTCTTAGTGTAGTGATTTTTGAACTTTTATTCAAATTTGTGCAATCAAATCAAAAACCGGGACTCTAAAACGAAACCCGGGACATTTTAAGGTTGGGCCGGGACACCGGGACAAATAGTCTAAAACCGGGACATGTCCGGGAAAACCGGGACGTCTGGCAGCCCAAATGAACGACCTATCGCAACTCCGGATTGCAAATGTAAAATTTTTTAAAAATGCCGCGCGTTAGAGAAAAAGAAAAAGAAGAAGAGAAGAAAAGAGAAGGAAAGAAGAAAAGATTTTACAATTATATTTCGAAGCGGCCCTAACTGATATACTTTTTCTTGAAGTATTTGAAGACAATAAAAAAACATGTGTTTCGCGACTTTGACTTTGCAATGATTGCCAGCTCAAATACTATACAAATGTCGCAATTTTGTCACAAGAAAGTTTCCATACAAAATCAGCAGAAATAAGCTTACATAAAACTGGCTGGCACACTTTATATTATTTCACTATGTTGGTAAGCTATGTGAAACATTTTGGAAATTGCTGTTTAAAATCTGTCCAAATTTCCAAATGGTTTTCAATTAATATCATATTGTAGATTGTTTTTTGGCACTAAACGCTTCTATTAAAAAAGTAGCAATTTATTAGTGCAATAACATTTTGGATAATATTAATATAATGTATGTATATATATTCTAATAGCGCATAAATAGTGAAAATCCACATTTAGAATAGTTGCTAGAGCGAAGAGTTTGGAAGCATACAAAATATTTTTAGTATGTACAGTGTACATTGCACACAAAAGTCGATGCATCGAAAAAAATACATCGATATATCCATGTATATCGAAAGGTCCAAAACATCGGTTTTATTCGATACATCGAATAGCAAACATCGATGTTTCCGATGCATCGATGTTTTTTTGCATCCCTTTTTTATAGTTTAACAAAAAAATCTCTCCATACAACTAAGGCGCTGTCTAATGTACTGTAATGTAATCTAATGTAATGTAATGTAATGTATAAAAAGGTATGCATTAAAGCGTTCGAAAACTAATGCAATAAAGTAGACTACAATTTTGGAAAAAAATTTATAATATAAAGATTACTACGAAAAATAAAGCGGGAACGAAAAATTTTGTTGTTTTTCAAACAAAATACTTTTATAAAATTTGCCTTTTTACCAAACAAAATTTTTTTTTACCAAATTTGGTAATAATTTACAAAGTGGCAACCCTGTATGTAACTAAATAAATAAATTAAGTGTTTTATTTGGAGGGGAGCTCGGAGCAAAATAAAATACCGGAACAGGGCTAGAGCGGAGCGATGTAGAAAAACCTTTGCTCTAAAGCCCTGCGCGGAAACGATGACATTATTTTTATAAAACTCCACAAACGGTTCCTACGAATTTGAAACTACATACATGAGTGCAATGAGGTTTATTTTTAACAATAACATTTTTATCATAAATATATGGTATATTCTTCCTCCTCTACCACTAAAAATGAAAAGACGAATATGTAAAATTCGCAAAAAATCAAGCTTTCCAAAGCTAAGAGGCAAAGTAAATTTCAATGTCAACATGGTTTTTTTTTAATTGGCAACCCCGATTTTTTCAGCTCGAATTCGGAAAGTTTGATTTTTTGTATGAATTTTACATATTTTAAGAAATTGCTTAAGATTAACTAATCATAGTTGGGTGAAAAAATATTGACCTTGGGTGTTATATAGACCCCTCATATGATATTTGATCTCAGCGAAGAGTTTTCCGGTCTGAATTCGAGATAAAAAATGGGGTTTCCAAATTAAAGAAACCATGTTGACTTTCAGAGCACCTAGAAAATGACCCCCACGGTCGTCATTGGAAAGCTTGTTTTTTTTTTAAGTGTGTTACATATTTAAAAACGTTTTTTAAGATAAAAGAAGAATAGGCAGGGGGTGGTAACATTTAGGAAGAATACCCCATACGTATGTATACATGTATATTAGGGTGGCCCTTAGCTATAAAGGCAATTTCAAAAGTCAGAAATCTCGTGCTCCCAACCCCTAATTTGATTTGGGTGCCTAAACCACTGATCTGTACAAAATTTTGGATAGATTGGACAAGTTTTAGGTGGCCCTCATCGATCTTTAAGTTTGTACATGCATTTTGTAGGTGCGTATGAGTAACATTTAATTCAGCATAATATAAAAATCGATTTATTTTCAGTATTTTCATACACTAATAGTAATAATAATAATATGAATAACAATAATAATAATTCTTACATTAAATTAGATTTAGCTGCTGTTGGATATGTCTTACGATGTTCGGCCACAATCTGCAAAATAAATTATTTATCACTTTAATTTTTTGTTAGAATATTGGCTCCTTTATGAGTTTGACCTATTTCTGCAACATCATTTACAATAACAATCTTCTGTAGTTTTTCTTCATTACTTTTGTAACCGGCATCACTGCTCGATGTTGAAGAGTATTTTGTCATAAAATCGGTATTTAAACATAATAGCTTGAAAAATGATTTTGTAGCAGGACTTATTAAAGAAGAAAACTTCATTTTTAAAAATGGCTTAAAAGCTGTGTAGTGTAGAATGTATTTTTTTACATGAAATTCCTCTCCTTCATCTGCTTCCGTTATGGCTTTTACCATACCAGCATTTACCGGTGTTGGCACGGTATTGTTGAATAAGGAAAGATCAACTATTTCTGGGCTAAGATACCATATGTGGTTAGCAAACTTTTTTGCAGAAGCTTCACTTATTTCACGGTCAAAATTTGTATAATTAATTAATTTAGCATTAGAATAAAATCATGAAAAGGTGATTGAAATGCTCTTGGTGCCATATACTACGCTTTAACGTAAATATGGATCAGAAATGAGTTTTTAGCGCATAAATAGCTTTCGCCATCCACTTTGCATGACTGATTGATCCCGGCACCCGAAGAGATATTCCATTTTTTGGAACACCTCAAAGAAAGATTGTCTTAAGCTCTAACAATTCACGATAATCATCTCTTTGGTGTTTCTGAGTCACAAGGTGCTGTCCCACAAACCGAAGTGTTGTATTTATCGCAAACATTATCTGGCAATTCGGATTGGCCAGTTGTGTAAATAGTAATAGTATTAATTTGTAATTAATTTTCATACAAAGTAATACTTAGGTAAAAGTAGGTAATAGATAATAGTAATGGTAAGTACAATTTGCAAATTTTGTAACAATATATTATAGTTAAGTTGAAAATCTAGCCTACCTTGTTCGAAATCGAACATAACCAATTTAACAGTTACCTGTATATGTGAATAGGACATTCCGCGGCACGATAAATAGACTTTATTTTTTTTAAAGGAGACCCGACCCACATGTAGATTTCTTAATTTTGAAATAAATATGCAAGGGGGTATGTGACTTATGAAGAATAAAGAAAAGTTAATTACTAAGTGTATAAGGACACTGAGAAAAAGAGTTTAGTTACAACTAAAAACGTTTCTCTCAACACGTGATTTGGGTATAGTTACACGATTTGGTTACAGTAACCAAATCTTGTGTTGAGAGAAATATATTTCGCTGCCTTTTTTCAGAGTGCAGTAATAAAAAATTGTATGGCATTAGATGATGATCATACGTACCTACTTAATATATCTGAAAACTTCAAGGTCGATGAGGGTCGTCAAAAACTTGTTCGATCCTTCCAAAATTTTGCACATACAATTTTTTTTAGCTATTCAAACAAAATCAGAGATTGGGAGCTAAACATTTTTTTACTTTTAAAAATAAGGGCCACACTAATGTATATGTACAAACTATGTACATGTACATACATATTATTTACAATTTCACAGACATATATACCATTTACGGCTTTATAACGCGATTAGTCCTCTGGTATTTGTTCCTAAAATAGGTGTCGCTGTCCCTGTTGTATTTGAACTAATCAAACGGCGAATAGTTTGCAATTCGTCGCGCAATGCCATGACTTGAGCACGTAAGATCGAATTTTCTTGTTCAAGTAGTGCTGCCCTGAATGCAATGCGATCTTCTCGTATTTTTCTCGCATCGCGGGATTTTTTTGCCGCCTCATTGTTGCGTTTACGCCGTTCATAATATTTCTCATCTTTTTGATCTTCGGGAATAGGTCGCTTTTCTCCGCGTGAGCGTCTATGTAAGAAAGCGGGAAACACACCGACTCTATTTAGCTCCATGAGAGGAAAATCTGCGATGTTGAGGGAATGGTTGGTCGGCGAAATGTACTCAAAAGCAGGTAATGTGGACTTGTTAGTTGGAAAAGAGGTACCGTTTATGGGTGTCATACCCAGTGTTGTGGGTAATTGAATTGGGAGCGTCGCATTGTTGACTGGTATTGTGGTTTTCGTAGTAATTACAGACGATTCGTTTTCAATTGTGGATTTCAAAAGCAAAGATTGTGTCTTCGCATTTTGTTCATTACCATCGAATTTATCAATATGCGTTTCTACATCAAGTGAATCCGTGGTATCAGCCACCGATAGTGGTTCGCTTATATCCAATAACGGGGACTTTGGTGGAATAGAGGAAGAGTTCTCCCCACTGTGAGTAATAGCTAAAGGTTCGTTAATATCCTTTGTTATGTTGTAGTGGTTGTGAACATCTGTAAAGGTAATAAAAAATATTAATTAGTGTAATTACCGGAACCAAACAAGTAAGCAAGAAAAAAGCTATTTCAAGCGCTTAGATAAGAACGTAAACATTGGTAAATATGCTTGCAAATATGCTCGAAAAACAACAAAAAACCTTAGTACAATTTAAGGATTTCACTTTCATTCAATTTATATCTATCAAGTGTTTCTTGATGTTCTCTAGGGTTTGAAATTGCTTGCATTTGCAATTGCTTAGCTGCGACTACCAAAAATCAATCAGCGAAAGGAAACAGCAAAAGCGAAAAAGAGATATGAAATAATTTGCTTTTGCTCAAGGCATAACCGAGTTGTATTAAAAAAGGTGTGATTGACAACTCAGGGAGGCTCTCTTTAAGGTACTATTATGCCATAAGATATAAACAAGCGATTCAAAATTCATAAACAAATTTTTCAATTTGACTTTATAGGATGGTTCTTCTGGGAGCAATGTCAAATTCAATCCCACTTTGTTGAATACACTTTTGGTATAACAAGGTAGAAGTGATTTCGACATTTCTCTCTTTTGAACTGCAACTGAAAGGTCAACTCTTAACCCAAGGCGAATTTATATAAGGTGGTGTTGTAGCGTTCGATTGTCAAAATTTTATATTTTGCTAGTGAGTGAGTGAAAACGTGAGAGTGTTTGCATTTTCTGTCGCCCTTTTTCATTCGGAGAGGAATAGCTGAAATTTGACAATCACCAGCTAAAAGCAAAAACAAAATACAAGTAATTCTTGTATTTGTTGAATCGATACCACCTTATATGAATTCGCCTAGTATTAACCCTATACCATCGTACAGTTTCCTAAGTAAAAACACTATCAGCTGATTGCTGAAAAATGTCTACAGCTGAGATCACCTGTTTTTTGGCATTTGCTCTTATACTTTACAATTTCTTTCATTGCTATTACAATTTCTTCCATTTCTATTACAATTTATTCAAAATAGCTGACTTCCAAAACGTATCAATACAATAGGGGTCTTCCCTTAAGCTCGTAAAAGCCTCGTAAACCTCGTAAATTTACGAGCCTCGTAAAAGAACTGTCAAAATTTGTATGGAGCTCTATTTACGAGCCCCCGTGAATTTACCAGGCAAATTTGATGCGCAAACGACACGTTAACTTTAGAGTTGCAGAGGGACCGACATTTTTATACTAAAATGTAAGATAAAATTATTAAAAAAAAAAAGAAAAAAATAATACGTGAATAAATGACTGAACTTCATCCACTAACTGCATTGACTTAGATTTTCTGCTAATTTAAGGCATTTTTAATGTATTTTAGCCAAGAGTGATAGAGACAAGATGGCGGGATGTTATGGAAAATACTAAGAAACAAAAAGTGCTTCACAAAATCCTGGTTGATCTGTCAAACAGTCACTTTACGCACCTGATTACTAAAAAAACACCACTAAATACAAATTTCATACTTTATGCAAAAATTGTGAAAATTTGCGGAAGAAAAAATTTTAACCTTTTAATCAGCATCTCTAAAAATTAAAAATTTAGTAAAATAATTTTCATAATTTTTTATGTATGTAAAATAATAGCCGTTTTCGTTGTTCGGAGTTAACTCAAAAACTACTGCATAGATTTCAGTAAAATTTTCAGAGGTTATACCTTGCTTATATGGTCCTATTATAGGCTACCAGAAAACTCGCTACGTGGCGCCGGAGTCCAGTTATTTATAAAAGTCGTATTTATGAACCGATTTCGTTGAAATTTCAAGTATAAGCTACTTGCATGATGAAAAAAGCATTGCAAAAAATGGACCCGATAAAAGCCCTATTTATGAACCGATTTTGTTAATGCAAATTCGAATTTTTATTACTTTCATGATGATTTTTTTCATTCTAAACATATATGTGCACACATATATAAAGTGATAGCCGTTTTCGTTGTTCGGACTAAACTCAAAAACCAGTGAAATGGTCGGAGGTTATGCCTTGCATATACACATTCCTATTTAAGCCCATTAGACAACACGCTGGTGGCGCTGGAGAAGAGTTACTTATAAAAGTTGTATTTACTAACCGATTTCGTTCAAATTCGCAAAGTGAGCTATCTGTGTGAAGAAAAATTCGTTTCCTAAAAATGACCCCGCTATATTTTATAAAATCTGATTGAAATTCATAATGCTTATTAATTTCATGACAAGCAGTGGTTTTGCAGAAAAGGGACCTAATGGATTGCGCTGCAGCCGAAATATATAGAAACCCACACGGGGTTTGATCTGCTTTGGCCCTATATGCATCTTAGACAAATTTACTTTTCATATGGCTAAATGGAGGATTCGTTTAAGTATGCATGTAAAGACCGCAACATTGTGTAAGCGCACCTTTGTCTGACGCCCTCATACACCTTAAATGCGATCTTGCACCTACCTCCGATTGACGAAATTGCTCGGGGCGGCCATTAGTACAGCAGTAAGACTCAAAGAAACCAGTTCATAAATATTAAGGAAAATTGTAAGAGTGGCAAATTGACAAGGAAAGATTCGACCACATCCGTAAAAAAAGGAACACGGTAGATATATCAATGGCTTCATTTGAAGGATATTTAAGAGATCACACGACTAATTTAGTCAATTTAAGGGAAAACTTTTCATTCTCGGCCCTCCTATAACTCCTATAACTGAAAACGCCCATCTGTGCTCTTTAGTTTCCTTATAAGGACTTTTATTGGCTTACATGGTACATCGGAGCAATGTTGAAGTTGCAGGATCATAGAAGAATATTACGCTCGCTTGGCAGAGATCTCACAGGTAGAAATAAGACCATCGGTAAAACTCATGACATCGAAAGGGATTAGTATTCCATATTGTATCACAGCGCTACTATTCTTGGCCTATGTATGAGGAGGATTCTGCTCTTTATTCGTTTCAATTTAAACTAAAAATGTTTACTTTACAGACTGCTTTTGCTTTTTAACGCTTTTTTGTATTGGCCAACGCAAAATATCTTATTAGGCGACGCGAAGCAAGCGAGCATTGGCTAGTATTTTTATAAGAAGAAAATAAACTAAGGAAAAAATAGTCAAAAAATATCGCGTCCCACTTTATATTTGGGTCACTGTATTTTTTCCTAAGAAGGACTTAGCGCGAATTTTTTCATAAAATTTTTGACTTCTTGCACATTTCTACCCGGAAAATAAGTCCAGGCTGTTTCGTGCACGAAGAAGAAGACATTTAAATACGATCCAGAAGTGGAAGGTATTCGCTCTCTATTACCCATTTTTCTAGCGTGAGGAACGCTTTCTGGGCTGTTTTAGGCACCCACGGGTACCCGCGGGCTCGTGTGGAACAAAGCTAATAATTGTGTCTAATTGTACTAGACATGTGCAGGTCATTAAAAACGGAACGTAATTGTTAAAAACTCAATTAAAATTAAATTAAAGGGACCGGCTTTTTCGATATAAATGAATGGCGTTTACTTTCCTCGAAATAATGTTGCCTTTTTTTCCTCAGCCCTTTCACAGCTCATTTCAATTCTCAAAATATTGCCATCCGACTAAGCAAAAGTGCAATACTTTCTACTAATATAGCCATTTTTAGCACAAAAAGTAACCTAGTGCAAATGTTACAGTATAAGAAGGCAAACTTTTTCAATAGAAAAGAAAACGCCATAAGTGTGGAATTGATCTTTTTTGTATTAAAATAATACAAACATGACTTCTGATGTAAAGCTTAGCTACGTATAACGACGTTTCCTTTGTTAAACAAAAATAATTTCTAATCAATATACCAGTCTCTGTTTTTGAGATTTATTTAAAGAATTTACTAGTCTTTCTACTTGTGATTTATTTAAATAAAACATGTGAATTTTAGTTGAAATATTTTCTGGCAACACTGATTTAGGTGTGTACCACCAAGGTTGGGAGGAGAAGAAATTCGTACACTGCAGTGAGTTGAAAAATCAAATGCAGCAATACGAATTTTATAGTAGTAGATTTTAGATTTTAGATTTTATACTAATAACAAGATATATTTTACATACAAAACGCATATGGGCAAATCTAAAAAATAGGTACACTTTCAAACAAAAAATTTTAATTTTTAAATTTGTGAGCACACCTATGTTTTATATATCATTTTATTCGTAATCTCTTAATAAATCTATTAATATAAGTGTAATTCATATTCATCAAGTGCTTCAAAAGTTAGACGAGAAATAAGCATGAAATAGAAAACAAAAGAATAAGCTGGGTTGAAAGTACACTGTTCAAGTTGTAAACTTTGAGGAAAGATTTTGAAAGTTGAACTCACTTAATTGGGATGTTCTAAATTCAATGGCATGCCCTGTTTTACCAGATTGGCTCCGGTTTTCGAGATAACGGTACTTAAAAATTTGATTAAATTTTAACTATTTTATAAATAACTCCCTCAATTTTGAAGTTATTTTACTAAAATTTTGCACATAACAGTTTTTTTAATATTACCTTAATTATTCCTTAAAATTATCGAAATAGGTTAACATTAACATATAGCTCCTATACAACTGATTACTCAGATATGTGTTTTTGCGCTATAACTCTAATTTCATATCTGAATAATAAATTGTATGCGTGCTATATGTTAAATTGAACCTATACTAAATTTTAACCGGTTTAATTGAAGGAGTTATAACGCAAAACAACGTCTCAGATCAATCAGTTGTATGGGAGCTATATGTTTTAGTGAACCGATTTCGATGATTTTATGGAATAGTTAAGGTAATATTAAAAAACGGTTATGTGCAAAATTTTAGTAAAATATCTTCAAAACCCAGGGACTTTTTTTATAAAATAGTTAAAATTTAAGGAAAGTTTCAAGTACCAATATCTCGAAAAGTAGAGCCAATAGTGTAAAACTTAGGACGCCATTGAATTCAGAAGGCTCCAATTAAGTAAGAGCAACTATCAGAACATTTGTCGAAAAAAAGTTGCTTTGATACCACTCTCGAAATATTCTGACTAAAAGAAGTAGCATCATTAAGAGTAGTAAATCAAGGTTTTTACACACTTCTAGAGATAAATTTTTTGAAGCATTTTACAAGTATATGTAATTTTATAAGGACTAGCAGTTATAGAAAGATTTAGATCGTTTCGACGTGTTTTCCAAATGTGGCTTTAATTAAAGTGTTTTTGGAATAAAAATTACGCTCAAGATCGCAGAATATTTTATCTTTAAAAGTTGGTTTATTCTGAAACCACAGCTCTTGCTCAGGTATGAAATTATTCGTAATTGTTTGTAGTATACAATACATACTTAAAAAGTTCTTAAACTTAAATGCTTCAAAAACTATACGCGATAAACCGAAAATTTTGAAAATTGTGAAATGTGGAATTACAGACTTTGAGTTACTTGCCATTTCGTTATTTTTTAATGCACACTTTTCTTACCTACTACATTTGAAGTGTACACATAAGTACTAATTGCACATACAATTTCAAATCAGTATATGGTGTGCTTCAAAAGTTATGGCATAATTAATTTTTCACCTCTTCAAAATTACATAAAAAATTCACTTGTTTTCATTATTATTTTTTATTTAAACACCTTTAATTCAAAAGTTATGCGGCAAATTGATCCAATTTTTTTTTGAGGCTTCAAGTATACGTCAATGAATTATATCCAAAAGCAACCAGCTTGATATAGTTTCCAACAGTGAAAATAAAGCTAAAAAACACCAAGGTTACCTGTTTTTTAGATTTGCCCATATACAAAAATAACTAAATGTTGTATTGCAGAAACTGATTAAAAATATATTTTCCGTCGACAAATTTATATTTTTTCAAAAATTGTAGTAATTCAAGTGGTTGTGAAAAATGCTTTTTCGTCTTGAATAAACAAAGAAATACAAAAACTACCTTTAAATCAACCCTAGGAGATTTTAAATAACCGCAGTAGAACATTCAATCTCGCTAAAACGAGCAGTACGAGCAATTTATTCAAAACACACTAACACACTAAAAGGACCAATACACTAACCAAAAATACACCTACAGCCTGCCAAACACACACCTACAGCCTGCCAGACAAAACGGTAAGAAGAAGAGTTACTTTGCTTATGGAACTGTACGATGACTCTGCTCTCTTATTTACGAACACATGCGCAGGGATGCCAAATCTCTTAGGGCTAATTCCATGAAATTCCTGAAAAAAATCCCTTATTTTCCATGAAATTCCCCTAAAATGCATTTTGCATATTTACATATTTATTAAAAGCACTTCATGCTAATTTTTAACCGACTTCAAAAAAGGAGAAGGTTATCAATTCGTCGCCGATTTCGATAAGTATTTTTTTTAAAGAGAAGGTGGTACCTCAGAGGTGGTCCACAACTAATTTGGTTTAGATCCGATCATTCAATCACGAAAAAATTACTTAATTTAAATAACTTAATTAAAAAAAAAACAATAACAAATACCGTTAATTGTGATATACAATATAAAAAATGAACTCAATGTCTTGGTGGCGAAAACGGAGAAAATAGTTAAAAATGTCGCTATCAGTGTTGGAAGAAAATGTTGAGGCTTCCCAGCAAAAAACACGATTACCACAGAAACGAAAGTGGAAACGAGCTAGGCGATGGGAATCGCTTACCCTTTCGCTTCAAGAAGGCCTTATTTTAACATGGGCATGTCATTGGAGGTAAGCCCTTACCCGCAGCATTACCTTCAAACGAAGGGAGAACGCATGGATAAACAGAATCCAGAGAAGCGAACAAAGAATGCCTTACAGAGAAACTGATGTAGAATGCCTAGATAAGTACTTATTTATATTAAATTGAAATCAGAAAATGTCTTAAAAGATTAAAATTAATTAAAATTTTTATAAATCAGCTTTTATACATATATATGTATTTATTTAGGTATTTAGATTTTCTTAAAAATCGGTATGTACATTCATGCATATTTAACTAAGCTTAAAATTGTACTTCCTCACTCTTGTACTTCACTTCAATGACTGACTTCAACTTCGCTGCAAATTGAACAAAGCAAAACATGATTTTTATGCGAGACAAATTTCCACAGAAAGTAACGGTAGAAAAAGAATTTTTGGGTATTCATTCTATTTTTCAGCTGACTACGATGCAGCATTCTACTTTGCATTCTCCGAAATGAAGCAAAGAAGCGAAATAAAAAAAAATATTGTAGGACATTCTACTTTGTATTCCCTGAAATGAAGCAAAGAAGCGAGACAAATAAAATATTGTAGGACAATCTACTTTGCATTTCCGGAAATGAAGCAAAGAAACGAATTTAAAAAGAAATATTATAGGACATTCTACTTTGCATTCCCCGAAATCAAACAAAGAAGCGAAATAAATAAAATATTGTTGGACATTCTAATTTGCATTACCGGCAATGCCTAAAAGAAGCCGAAAAATTTGAAGGCATTATAACGCTATGCCTTCTAGAACACGTTACCACTAAAAGCGATTACCGATTTTTTGCTGGGTTATAGCTAAATTCCTCGAAAAAACGATAAAGATATTATTACAAGGGCATTGCTATGGATTCGTCCTCGTTAACCAAACAAAATTTTTAATCCACAGAATTCTCTCCTTCATTTGGTACCCATATTGTTATTCTACATTCTTCTTCTTCCTCTTATTTGGCGCTGTAACCGCCCAAGCAATTTTGGTCGAGTTCAGCAAAGCACGCCAGTCGTTTCTCTTCTGTGCCAACTGACGACAATTAGAAACGCCAAATGAAGCCAAGTCCTCCTCCACCTGATCTCTCCATCGCAGTGGGGGCCTCCTCTCCTCTGCTACCACCAGCGGGTTCCGAGATGAATACTTTCAGAGCTGTAAAGCTCCTACAGCTCATCGTTCTATCGTCTGCAGTACTCGCCGTCGCCAACGCGTAAAGGCGCGTAAATCTTCCGCAAAGTCTTTATCTCGAATACTCCAAAAGCCGCCTCATCGGATGTTGTCAATGTCCATGCTTCTGCGCTATATACCAGCACGTGCTGACTTATGAAGTGTGGTTTTCATATGTCGAGAGAGGACTTTACTCCTGAATTGCCTACTCATTCCAAAGTAGTACTTGTTGGCTAGAGCGATTCTGCGTTGGATTTCCATGCTGACATTATTATCGGTGTTAATGTTGGTTCCCAAGTAAACGAAATTCACTACTTTCTAGAAATTATAACTGTCAACAGTGACATGGGTGCCAAGGCGCGAATGAGCTGACTGTTTGATGACAGGAGATACTTCGTCTTGCCTTCGTTTACCACCAGATCCATTCGCT